AAAATTCCATTCTAAAAAAATTGCGACTACACTTTTTTATTTCTATCTTTTTTAAGTATGTTATAATATAAAAAAAGTGTTCAAATAAAATAATACTGTGGGAGTCACAGCCGGAGAATACTTTTTCAAATAAATCATAGTCTTCTTTAACTCATTTATTCCTTTTAGAATTGTAAACAACAACTTTTTCAAAAACACCGCTGTTACATTGTCTTTTCCATTACCCGAATGCCAGAAAAACATGGCCGTCATTCAGACGAGCAATTACAATACTTTTAATTTACAATAACGAAATACCGTCAGATAATTAACATGATAAGTTGAATAATTCTATTTTATATTTGAGAATCAAATATTTAAATAATCTTTTGCATGGTAATACAAATGATTAATGTTGTTATATTAAATAAACAAAAGTGTTATTGACTTATAGCATAGACTAAATAACGTTTTAGGTTAAGGAATTACAGAATATATGAAATGGCTTACAATACATTGTTTAGTTTTTATTAAAAATAAATAAAACTCTGTTTTGAAACGGCAGGCAATAGATGGCGCTATAATACCGCTATTTCGTCTATTACAACAATAGTCAATCGTTTTTTTTGGTATTTAAAATTAAGGTTGGATTACGTATATAGTCAACAATAAAAATAATTTTTACTTAACTTGTTTATTAATGTGTATAATTTATTAAACCTTTCATTTTCAATTGGTTGTATTCACATATTTTATTTAACACTTCTGGCGTGGATAAGTGGTTCTTACACAGATTGGACCCCAAAGCAATCACGCAGAAGTGGCCGTCGTCGCTCAGAAATACAGAATGCTTTAATAGCATTGTATTCATCGCTGCCAATCTAAAAATAATTTATTAGATTAAGTGCTATTGAGTCTGATCACTTTAAGAAATTAATGTTTTATTTATAACTTTTTATATTTCAATATTTGCTAAAAAATTGTTGGGTGTTTAAAAATATATTTATTGTTATAAAATAAATATTTAAAATTATTAAAAATTAAAAATAACATTTAATAAAGTATTTAATAAAAAATTTAAATTTCAATTATTTAGATTATTTGTTCAGATTTTTATCATTTCGTTGGAAAAGATTCAGATCTGATCTACCATATTTTTTATGCAATTGTATAGAATACAATTTTATATCTTATTCATGTGAAAGCGCGTGCCAACATTCGATAATCGGTATTCCACTTCAAGAAGAAGAATAACTTATCCACAATATTAATACTTTATTCTATACAAATATTAACTTTATTCACGTAAGCGAAAGATGATCGTTGAGACGTGTTTGTCGGGGAGAAGAAACCCCTGGGACAGGGTTGCCAACGACGCGAAGAAGGGGTGGGTGTACACAAGCTTTGTCGTGGCTACACCGATATGCAGCGCAGATGAGGAACTGAAGTTTTGCGAAGCGAAAACTTCACTTGTTTCAAATTATGTTTTCAAGTGAAACGTTTCCAAGAAAATTATTTAAGGCAAAGATGATGAATTTCTATTGCATATTTTATATATTTATTTAATAGTACAATGTGGCAAACGAGTAATCGGGCATCTCAATTCAAAATAGTACCGATGTCCCTTCACATTATTTTTAAAGTGTTGCTACAAAAGTCTTTGTCAGTCAAGTTCTGCCATCGAACATCAACCAATAAACAATATTTTATATACAGTTCTAAAATAAGTTCAATAGTAACATATGAAATTGCTTCAATGACTATTTCCTATTACTCCGGCTATTTGTGGATAAAACTGGAAAAGTTAACGCTCAAATCGAATCGATGTAACTTTTGCTCTGTGAATTTTTGTTTGAGTGAGTTAAGGAATAAACGGAATTTATTCCATGCCTCAGGGAAAATAAAAACTGTGCAAAAAGAAACCAACTTTGTCAGTATATTTTGAAGGAAAGAATCCCTTTTTACTTTTGTATACTATACAAATCATAGCAAAGGGTATCTGAGGCGCATAAATCAAAAGTTTAATCTTTTTGTTGCGCGTTATATTTTGCAGGCGACCTTTTGCTACGCATGAATGGTTTTATTTGCAAAATAATGATTAATTATTACATTTTATTACAGTTACAGCGACGTATGGGTTACCTTATGTAGAATTATTTTATAATATTAACATATGAGTAGATTATTTGAAAATAACTGATATGTTATGTAGTCACTTTAACTAAGTTTTAAGCATATGGTTGGACAACAGACAATTAATAGGTTTCGGACCGACGACTATGTGTGTGGATGTCCGTAAATAAATAAAATGTGTGGTTATTTTATTCTCCAGGCTTACTAGCCGTAACAACTTAACATCAAAGTAGAATCCTTATCTTCTTCACAAAGTAATAAGATAACGAAGATCTTCAAAGTTTACGATAGGAGAGGAAAGTTGTTACCATTAATATTTAGGTAAAACACGTTTAGTTGCTGAGACATTAAATATAGACGAACCTGGATAAGCGAGTGTCCAAGGGCCACAATTTTATCCCACTTGTAGAGGTTTCTCTCTAACACGAATTTCATGCTTACGGAAGTCGTCCTTCAGGACCGAATAGTAACTCTCGCGCATAGAAGTTTTTCGCTTATCGAGTTCTTACTTATCCAGGTTCGACTCTACATACATTTATAGAGTAATATAAAAGTAATAATAACTCGACGTTTGTTACGATTAGATTTAATCTGACACAATTTAACGTAAATCGAGTTAATAAATAAAAAAAAAAAAAATTGGGACTTTTTATACTTAACCCCCTCAGCGGCAAACCCTAAGTGACCGTAAAAAAAACATTTTTTTTTGTTGGGCTGTGCTCAAATACAAAAATGTGTATACTTTTGAATACACAGCGTTCTAGACACTGTGACAAAAATATAAACATGGCGCTCAAGGTGTTAAAACAGTACCAATGTTGTTAAAGAAGTAGAGTAAATTCTGTACAATATTATGTAACACATGAATTCCTCGTTTGCTTGTAGTCGTCTGCTGCTGGTTGTACACTCAATGTGCTAATTAAAGCTTTGTAACTATCACGTACATGTACGATAGAATCGTATAAATGCATGAAGTAACAGCATTTCAAATGTAAATTAAGTTGTTTGATAACTAAGTAGAATTTCTTAGTTTATTTATCTTTGTAAATTTATATGTAAATGTAATTTTGAAGCGAATAGCTTAATGGGTTGAGGTTACGGATTACCTGTCTAGTGGTTGTTGGTTCGAATCTTGTGCTTTGATTTTATTAATGTATTAGCTATCGCCCGCGACTCCGTCCGCGTAAGTTAACTTAATGCATAGCCTGTGTGTTCTTTCAGACTATGTTCTACATCCACACCAAATTTCGTCAAGATCCATTGAGCCGTTACGGAGATACCTTCAAACAAACATCCATCCAACCAACCACTTTCCTTAAGGCCCTGTCACGTGACCTTGCACACTTGTAAACGAATTTAAATCAGACGACTACGTATTAAGATTCATTATTATATTAATGATCATTCTAAAAAGACCGTTTTCACTAGTCTTATTCTAGGAAATGTATGTATGAATATGAACTGAGTCAATTCCGATTGTTTGTTTACAATTAGGCGTCATGTTTGCAAGATTGTGATTATAATAAGTGCATTTTTAAAGTAAATATTATAATATTTTTAAATTTATTTTATACTATTTCAAACCTAAATCTGTTAACCTGCAACTTATTCAGACCGCGTATAAATAAAGAACATTTCGTAATTTGAGGGGCAATATTTGTTTCGCGGCTCGGTGTCATTGTCCGCCCGAGTCTCGCGATAAAGAGATGACGAAAGAAAAGCTAAATCACACAGTCCACACAATCTGTTCGTATCTTGTGCTTTAATAATAAAATAATTCGTGTTCGATTTAATATGAAGTCATTCATAGAAACCCTTAGGTGAGTTGAAATTTATTTATTATTTTAGAATTAACAATCGAAGTATACTATTTAGTACATCGAATGACGTCACAGTGCAACAGACGAGATGTGATGTTATTAGCCTATGACGGTCATTACGACTGCCGAAACACACGATACATGCTGTGGTCTCTGTCTTTCTCACTAAAAAACAGAGATGACAATGTTTTTGTTTAGTTGTAGTTGTTAGTTGTAAAAAAATGCAATTGGTGGCTCAAAAAACAATAAATCAATTTCATTATAATTTTAATTTATTTGTTCCATTTCTATTTCAGATCACTGATGTTTTGCTGCGTGAATAAAAAAATAACAAAAACGGATCGCAAAAGGTTGGTTCATTGTTTTTGAACTTTTGGATTATGACAGCTAAATGTTAGGTAGACTACAGACGATTTTCGTCATATAGATCTAATAAATGTAAAAAATAATAAAGATAGAAGATATTTTTAATAACCTACAGAAATTATTTGAAATTCTTTTGAAAAATATATATCATGAATGATTACCTTACTTTTAAAAATTTTAATTTTAATATTCTGTTCTTGGCCAGCGTGGTTGACTATGGCCTAATCACACTTAACTTAGGGTAGGCTCCTCCTAGGACGTATTGTGAGCTGATGATGATGATGATTCTGTTTCTTGATTTTAGAACGCATATCAAGTACCTAAATCTTAAGATTTTTATTCAAGCAATGGCAAGACCACATAACTTTTCTGACTTACCATAGTTAGTACTTAGGTCTTAATATTTGCCATTCCTTATACTTCAGTTAACATTTAACTTTTTTATAATATTAAATACAAATTTCATTTCGAAAACACTAGCATGACATTTTCATCATAATTTAATTTCTGCTTTACAGGAAATTGCTATATTTGTATAGCATTAAAGTCAACACGTATAATTTGAATGATAATATCCAACACTTGTTTACACGACAAAATGTATTCCATTATACTTTTATAAAGAAAACCGTAGCAAAGTACATAGCGTTTTAAGAACAATAGTAAGAGACATGACATCTAGACTATATAAAAGAATACGCGAGTTGAAGTAATCTGTGACAAAATATATTCGCCTGCTGCTCGAGTGCAGCGTGAAAATGTTAGGAACAAAGATTTTCATATTTATTCTGCTTTGTTACAGAGTTACCGCGGAAGTCAACGATAGATACTATCCACGCTACCACTTGGCCCCGCCGTATGGATGGATGAACGATCCCAATGGTTTTAGTGAGTACAAAAATGAGTACCATCTATTTTATCAATTCAACCCGAATAGCAGTTATGAACCTGGTATAGCGCACTGGGGTCATGCCAAAAGTAAAGACCTTTTTAGTTGGGAACATCTACCTATTGCAATGTACCCAGATCAGTGGTATGATAAAGGTGGTGTATTTTCTGGAAGTGCTATAGTTGAGGATGGAAAACTGTATCTTTATTATACCGGCAATGTTAATAAACCCGAGGAATATCCTGATCATGAACAGCACCAAATACTTGCTATAAGTACAAATGGAATAAATGTCACGAAACAAGTGATTAATCCAATTATCAATGGCTCTGAATATCAGCCAGATTTTCGAGATCCAAAGGTATGGAAGCGTGGGAATATGTACTATATGGTGTTAGGAAACTCTTTTCAGGATAGCGAGACCAATAGTACTTTAGGGCGTGCACTTCTCTACACTTCTAAGGATAAAGTCAATTGGAACTTCGCCTCAATTTTGGATGAATCTGATGGATCTCTGGGATACATGTGGGAATGTCCAGATTTCTTTGAACTAAATGGTCGTTTCGTTCTATTATTTTCTCCCCAAGGAATACAGCCATCTGGATATAAGTATAGGAACTTATATCAGACTGGTTATATTGTCGGAAATTTTGATTATCAGACTAATATATTTACACCCATAACTGAATTTGTTGAATTGGATTATGGCCACGATTTCTATGCTACACAAACTATTCTAGACAAAGCAAAACGTAGAATAGTAATTGCTTGGATGGATATGTGGAACCAGAACTATATAGAAGCGGAGGATGGTTTTACTGGTCAAATGACAATTCCGAGAGTACTATCACTTGACAAATACAACCGTCTTATTCAAAGACCAGTAAACGAAATTGAATCGATCAGAAGACGTCAAACACGTCACCAAGGAAGTGCACGAGCCGGTGCTGTTATCAGGCTAAGAGATAAAGCTGGAGAAATTCATATCACAACATCGGCAACTAAAGATTTAGATATATTGATCCAATCATCAAATGAATCAAGCACAGTTATAATCAGTTACAACTACAAAAGAGGTCTAGTGACTTTAAATCGTGGAGGCAAAGATGGCGTCCGTCGTGCTAAATGGAGACCAAGTGATAAATTACATTTGAAAGCATATATTGATGCTAGCTCGATCGAATTATTCTTCGGTAATGGTGAACTTACATTTTCTAGTAGATTCTTCCCTACGGGAGCAATAAAGGTACGGATAGGAGATTCAAGTGACGTCGAGTCATTGACTATCTTTGACTTACAACGTACAATTGATGCCCGTTACGAACTAGAATCCGAAGATTAATCTATCGCAGTGTTGATTTTAGATCTTGTCTAAATTATGTAATAAAATATATTATGCAAAGCAAATTAATTTGTAATTTTATTTAAACTTTTCCATTCAAAAATCTTAGTTAAGTAAGTAATTTTATTAGGAAAGAGGTAGTAGATGAAGAAGAGATAAAGACTATCATAATGTAATGTTTCAAACCAAACTTAGCTGTTCAAATTTACATTACACCTTATGGTTGAGATAAAAGGAAAGTAATTAATGTTGCCATCGCGGCTGGGAAATTAAGTGATACCATTACCTAGGTATTGAATTATGTTGAAGTATGAAGGACACATATCGAAAAAGTGCACATAAGATAAATGTGGCACTGGGCACTGGCACATACATTTCTAAACGTTTATCTTACTAAAGTGACTTCATTGAAATTTGCATCAACACTTTAGCTATTGTGTTTAAATTGACGCAAATGTATTTTTAATATCTTAAGTATATTCTATGCTATTTTTCATAAAGAATGAGCCACTTAAACAGTAATAAGCGTTGGACTATTATTATCATTTCCGTAATACGGCTCTATCTAAACTTTGTATCAACTATGATAAAAACATCTATCTAAATTGCTTCGCGTAATGCTTTGAGAACACAATAAATATTATAACGAACAGTTTCTTAGTTGTGTGCTGTCTTAAGATTTTTATTTAAACATATTTTCAGTTTTCACCTACGCATTTCACGTTTCGGAAAAGTTCTTTCCTTTTTTCTGTACATTTGGTCGTTTAAAGGTAGACAACATTACATTTGATTATTACTTTTGCCATATTATCGTTCAATGAAAAAAAAAACTTTCATTGTTATGAAATTTCATGGTTTAATTGTACTGTCGGGTAATCTGGCAGTAATCCAACTTAATAGTGATAGTCGCTTGAATGTTTCGCACGTATTAAGACGATGACCAGTAGAACGAATTGCCTATATGTGTGAATGAAAAAGTGCATTTTAATTTAATGTTATCACTTAGGCCTAACCCATTGGTTATTTAATAAGAAGGAGCGCAGTTTGTTTATTTGCAAGAAGGCAATTTTCTGTTAGTCGAACACCGCGAAGGGTCCTGACTGTACATGTACATACAGGTAAATTTTTGTGTTCCAATTTTGTCGTAAAAATAAAAACACACTGTATTGTCGCATAATTATTTTTTTTTGAGCCAGTTTTTACTGGTATATTAGTCAATCTGAGGTAATATAAAATATGGACCCTTTTCTAACTATGGCGGCTCATACGCATAATAGAAACATTAATTTAGTTCAGTTCAGTTTATTCACAAAAGGTATCAAAAGCTTAGATAAATTGCGCTAAGCTATTATTACATTTGACTTGTTTTTTTAATTTTATTGTAATATTTGACTGTTATTAAAGTTTAATTTTGGTTGCTATAACAACTAAATTATAAGCATTATTGCCAAAAATATATGAGTTTATGTTCATAATTTGGCCCGCGACTTTTTCCGTGTGACCCTAAAAGACCTGAGATGCGTATAGCCAATATTCCAGACTGTATTCTGTCTTCCAAATGTTATTCAGATCCGCTCAGCCGATAACAAACATTCATCATTAGTAAAATTGCTTTCCCAAATCAAAGAAATTCATTATATCTTATTTAGAGATCGTTCAACGTCGTCAATTATTTTTATTGATAGTCAAAAATTATGATTTAATGTAGTTATATTGTTTGGATGGCTAATCTACACATCTTCTACATATTTAACCTTGACTTTAAACTTAAAAAAACATCTGTGATACAACAAATTAATATGTTACCATACTTGTTTTTACACTGTGAAAACCCACGCTATGACAATAATATTTACACTTTATCGCTTCCTGATTGTGCAAATAGCTATTACAAGAGGAAAGAGATTGTTTAAATTATAAACAACATTCATATTATGTTAATATTATTAGAACAAATATGTATTATTAACCATTTCAAAAGGAATTCGTGACGAAGTACACATAAGGCAGTAAGCGTATTATCCAATTGCTTTATTGTTGCCGAATTAATTTTTTTTTTATATCACAAAGTGGCAAACGAGCGAGCGGCCACCTGAAATCGCTGAAATAGCGAAGTGATCGTTGCCCATAGACATACGCAATTGTATATGCGTTGCCTACCTTTAATCGACGGAGGAGAGGATGCACAGAAAGAAAATATTTTCCCTTTCCATGCATCCTCTCATCCGGAAAGTCCTCTTTCACTTCCCATCCTTTCCTTCTAAGAAATATGACGGGAAGGGAAAGAGGATAATTTTGGCCTCCGGGACGCACACTCATCAGACGAAACGCGGAATAGCTTCCACTTCACGCCTGTCTTCTGTGTGGTCGTGGTAACAAAATGTTATTTATCGTGACATTATACTTTCATAAAACTTCCATTAAAAGACTAGCTAATGTTCTCGACTACGCCCGCTTACGTAAAATATCTATGGAAAATATTTTGCTGAAATTACTAATAATTACTATAAGTGAAATCGTTCTCTTTTTTTTCAAAGACGTTGTTTTGTGATTTAATTTTTACGTTCCCGACTTTTTGAAATTGCAACAAATATTTATTTAGTATTTAAATTTCTTATCGTAAATTAGAAAACAATATTTTATTGCTATAAATATGAAATGAATGTAGATCATATAGCAGCGCCAAGTTAGTTTATTTTTTACCATGTAATTTTGCTTTAGACTGTACTGTTTACTTATTTATACCGTAGGGTAGCACCTAAACAAACGTTACTAGTCAAAGAAATGTGTGTTGTAACATAAATAAATATACGAAAAGAACAAATTAATAACGTTTTAAATACGAAATTTTCGATGAATGGATGGATATTTATTAGAAGTTATCTCAAGAACGGAGCAACGGATCTTGATCAAATTTAGTACAGATGTAGAACATGGTCTGGTGGAACAGATAGGCTAATAATTTTTTTTATTCGACAGCTAGAAATAAAAATAAAACTTAGTTAAGTGAAACAACAATACCGACTCTTGTAACTATGATAACCAACAATGTTACATTTCAAAATACATATACAAATAAATAGAGACTTGGAAATAAACGTCTCCGACATATTCGTTTCGTTAACCGAAGAATGCATCTAGTAACAACATACAATAGCATATTTTCAACAAACGCCCACACACTTCATGGATAACTTAATTTAACGTTGAATAGTTCTACTCCATTTTATAAAGCGCCGGTGGGACAACGATACTCTTACGGAACACCTACTCAAAAAGCCAGTAACTACTTTCAAAGTAAATAAATTTATTATAGCGAACGATAGATCGACACTTAGACTTGTTACAGGTTTCCGCCATGTACCAATAAGATTAATCACTTAATAGTAAATTAAATCTTACTAATATTATAAATGAGAAAGTATAGATGGTTGGATGGCTGTTAGAATGTCCCTTCAGAATCGCATGACGGATTTCTTTGTAGGCATAGATGTAGAACATAGTCAGGAACAATACATGGGCTACTTATGTTTTTTTTAACTCTATGCGAACGAGATCGCGGGCAAAAGCTAGTGCATGCTAAGTAAATAAAATAATTAATTTTCATTCCGTGATTAAATGGAAAATGACATTTAATAATATGAAAAAAGCCATAGTAAAGTCTATACAATTCACATCATTAGTATTTTTGATCTTAAACAGCTTTATTTTTTCTTGAAAAATGTAGTATTTGCGCATGCGTTAGCTCGCTTTTAAATCTCATCTGGTTTAGTCATAGTTGTTTAAAAGCTCTCTCGGTCCCGACGCTTCCCCTCATCGCTCCCAAGTTCAGTGTTGCTCGAAATCCGTGCAAGTTCCGTTGTTTGAAAATAAAGTGTCGTGTAAAACGTTTTGCTTTAAATTGCCTTTTAAGTTTGCAAACAATTTCGTTAATATATTTTTTTTATTAACGTTTAATATAGTGCTAAATTTGTTTCTTAGCTTTAATTCATTTATTAGTTGTAAATATCAGTGTCGTGAGTGTAAAACTATTAAAAACTATTAATAGTGTAGTGTAGTGTACTGTTAGAAAATACGATAATGCTAATATGGTTAAGATTCATTGTAACTTAGACATAAGTTTTTATAACTTAATATAATCTAAAGGTAAGTTCAGAAAATATCTTCTTATCAATATTTTAATACACTTATATATTACTTTAATTTTTAAATAAAACATTTATATAATTATGATTTTAGTTGAGAATAAATAGATGATTTTTTTTTATTTATTTGTCGCCCACGACTGTGTCCGCGCGGAATTTAATACTTAATTAGTAGCCTATGTGTTCTTCCAAACTATGTTCTACATCTATGCCAAAATTTCGACTCGATCCGTTCAGCCGTTCTGGAGATACCGTCAAATAAACATCTATCCATCCATCCACACATTGGCATTTATAATATTATGTCGTAATCCGTAAGGTAAATGCAAAATAGAAAATAAATTAAATATTATTTAGATAGGTTTATCTTTGTACGTATCTTTAAATTAGTAGGATTTTAGAATTCTTATAATATACCAAGAAATTTAAATTTAAATTTTACATACTTGGATGGAACTTCTGTTTAACAAAGCGGAATCCACTTCCATTAGCGTTGGTGTGGATTGCGGACGACGTGGGCGGCGTTGTCCTTTACTTATACATTAGCGTGTGTAAACTGGTGATAAACTTAATTTCCTAGAATCCGTACTGCTAATTTATATAATGTAAAATTATCCCATCATTGTCCAGTTTAAAATAAAAAAGTGATCGAATATTCTATTTTCTTTCTTCTCTTGTTCAGATGTCGGTTTATAAAAAGATGACGTGGTTCTGTTCGACCGACATACCATGATTTTAGAGAAGACAAAACTGATCTAGAAGTACAGTATTGTTCTTCGTTTCTTCCAATAAAAGAGGAAAAAAGACTCGACCAACTTAATGCACCTAATTTGCAATTTTTTTTTTATAACAAGTGGTGGGAAACGAGCGAGCGGCCGCCTGAAGTCGCTGAAATTGAGACCGTTGCCTATGGACATACGCAATTGCATATGCCTTGCCTACCTTTAATAGACGGAGGAGAGAATGCACAGAAAGAAAATATTTTCCCTTCCCATGCATAACTTAATCCGGAAAGTTCACTTTCACTCCCCATTACTTCCTCATAAGAAAATTGGTGGGAAGGGAAAGAGGTCTAAAATTAGGCTACGTTTTCTTGTTTTTTTCATGCGACGTTTTCAGTTTTCAACGAAGCAAAATGTTTATTTAGAGTTAAATTGCTTACATAATACGCTCTGTGAGTTGAATGAATTCCATCATCAGAAATGCAATTTCAAACGTTGTTCTTGCTCTGATAATGAAACAAGTTTTCAGAACAAGTAAAACTTTATGTATCAGTTTAACGAATTTCACAACCAAAATATTCGCAGCAATTATTTTTGTAAAACTTTGACATCATTAACGTGATATGCGATTTAATGTTGCCTATATCTGTAGTTTTAGGTTATGTAAAGCCAAAGGATTATAATGGACGAAGTTTTTGTAATAGAAAGCAATCCGTGAGGCCCAAAATGTCAATTATTTCATTCCTGGCTTTTATAGACAAATTTCTTAGCTACCTATTATCCAAGTATCCACTTGAAGTATCCTTGATCATCCTGTACATTGAAAGATCAAAAGTCTGGGTTTTATTACGTTATGTATTTGGAGTATGTTTGGGGTTTCAGATAAAAAAATAGCCTGGTTACGAAACTATGGTTATTATAGATAAGTCGCTAAGTTGTTACTTGCTTCATAACCACTACTTCAATTACAAATTTAATTTTAAATTGTTAACATAAGAATAAAGAATACATTCTTTATTCCTGATAAATTGAAAAGGGAATAATTTTATAACAATATAAAACATATTAAATTTTCATGATTGCTTAAAACATATTAAGCTTTTATCAACAAAGGGATTTATTTGCGTATATCATTGAAATGTAAAATTTCAGAACGTAATATTACGTTAATACAATGTTATTACATTACCTTATAATAGAAAATAAACAAAGCAATATGTCAACAAATATAATAATTCTGCCTATTTCCGCATTTATTTGCCCTTCCTCTTTTTATCTTTGATTCTTTTAATAACGTTGTTAGGGAAAATATATATATATTTTTTCAATATTAAAAACTCCTAGAATCACAGAAAGATAATGTTTTTTCAATATTTATTTGTATTTCCGTAAGATTGTGACTGTTTTTGTCTCGTATGAATCGTAGTTTTAAAGTGTGAAACGAAGTCATTCGATTAGTACTCTTACCAGAGTATTGTCTTAGTAAGAACTGAAATATTACGTACAAAAATACACCACTTGTTTTTTTTTTTTTTATTTCATCCATCCATATCATCCTACTGAACGCTGCTGAACTTAGGTCTCCTCCATTCGGTTCTCTATAGTATGTTTGGATTTACTACAAACTAGTTGCCGCCCGCGACTCCGTCCAGAGGGATTAAAAAAACTTAGTAGCCTATGTGTTCTTCTAGACTATGGTCACATCGATGACGAATTTCAGCGAGATTTATGGAGCCAAGCTGCAGATACCTTCTAACTTATATCCATTTAAACATTCTAATTTATAATATTAGTAAGATTATTTTTAAACCAAAGTTATTTTATAGCAACCATGGAGAATCTGACGCTGACGTACAATGTCAGCTTGTTATTGGCGGGGAATCCATCTAGTGATACAACGATGGTATCGGTTCACAACAGTAGCGTGACAAGCAACGCGTATGAATGGCGTTTTGTACTGCCGCCGTATTTCATCATTTTCATGCTGTCGATATCTGGAAATTGTCTTGTTATTACAACATTAGCGAGCAATCGTCGAATGAGAACTGTCACTAATGTATATTTATTAAACTTGGTAAGTGTATATTTAATTGTTTGATGAAAGTACACTTTATTTGCCTAATGACATACAATATTGGAGACCTAGCACGAATAGTTGTGACAAACGCCATCGTATTGTCTCCGACACAATTTGTGTTAAATGTCCAGCTAAATCGGCGAAAATTACACCAAAAATAAGTATAAATATATAATAAAACTTACTTATAATGACAAAATTTACAGTATCACAGTATGGTAGTTTTCACTTATATACTTTAATTTATGATTCTTTCTAATCAATTGAGGCATTGTAATAACATAAAATACAAACAAGAGACTAGAACCGAGCAAATATTGCAACTTTTATTGTTGTCAGGCGACTTTGACTCTTATAAAAACTATGTTTTAAAAATCAATTTGTTTTGAATTGTTTACCTTACAGTGCAATGCAAACAACGACATCTATCTATTTATTTATAGATGGATTTTGCGCGCTATAAAATGATACGCTGTTTTTGTTTTAGGCAATTTCGGATTTTTTACTCGGCGTGTTTTGTTTACCTTTCACGTTGGTGGGACAGATTTACAGACGATTTCTATTCGGTGCAATTCTATGCAAATTAATTCCTTATTTGCAAGGTAAGCTATATCAGTTACGTACATACAGTTACATGTTTCGAATTGTTGGACAGTTATGCTGAAGCCGCATACAGGATGGGAACTAATCAGAATTGCGGTAGTGTATTAACGTCAAAAGCGACTGACTCGCAATTTCTGTGGCTAATAGTAAAGTACCATTGATATCACTGGGGAATATTATATGACTCTCATGCATACCTTCGAATCCAAAGCCGCGATAGTCCTTAATTATAAAATATCAGGTGCTCAAATCCATCCGTGTGGAATTAAAAGAAAATGTATAGTACGCTATCTGTTCTTCCAGATTATGTTCTATATGTTTGCCAAATGTTATCGAGATCTGTTGAGCCGTCCGACCTCTTTTGAGGTACATTCTAACAAACATTCATCCATCCATCCAAACATTTGCGTGTATTAATTTTAGTATTTTGTAAGATGTAAGATTTATACTTAAAAAAATTGTCACATAACTTTGTAACATTAGCTGCTCTTATTTTACAATATTATTTAGTTATTCGACTTAAAAGAGTATGGAACTGAAAAAGTGGATTATAATAATAACCACCATGTATGGAATATGACATTTCCCTACTTCGGCGTTGAATCGATGAGTCATAACCATAATTATTTTGTTCCCTTTTCATATGATTAATGTTGTTTTCTCTGCCATAAAATGTTAATGTTTTTAGCCGTATCAGTATCGGTGGACGTGTGGACATTAGTGGCTATATCTCTGGAGAGATATTTCGCTATTTGTAGGCCATTGAAATCGAGGAAATGGCAGACTCAATGTCACGCATACAAAATGATTGCAATGGTTTGGATGCTTTCACTTGTTCTGAATGCGCCGATATTAATCGTATCTACATTGCAACCTATGAGAGGAGACGGTAAGAATACTTGAGATTGAATACTCAATTAGAACGCCCGGTCGGATATTGGTATTCTATCTAATTAGATAGAACACTAGTCAATCATGTTGGTTTTGACGCGTGTTTAAATATACGAGTATGAAAAAGCACTTTTCATTTCGATAATATTGTTTCAATTACGTATAACCATAGTATAAATTAAATTTAACTTTAACGTCTATGGCTTACGGTATATTTTCGCTAAACAGATTGGTTTAATGTACATTACTGGGGTATATAGTATAGAGTAAATAAAGTAAATAAAATTTATTTATTTGTTTGTTTTTGCTTTTAATCAAATATTAGCATGTTCAGTGTTATTAAATTCATTGTTATTTTTCTAATTTGATATTTTTTGTAAATTTCGATCAAATAAATGAAGTTTTTTTTTAATTTACCTTAATACTCATTTACAATTTTAGCGTACAAATGCAGAGAGGTTTGGACCAGCTTAGAGTTGGAGAGAGCTTTCAATCTGGGTTTGGATGCCGCACTACTTTTGGTACCGTTCTTTATAATGTCGTTCGCGTATTGTTTGATCGTCACAAAGCTGTGGCGAGGAATGCGACATGAGATTCAACACAACTTCAACTGGCAAAAAACTCGTAAGCAAAATTATAAAAAATATTTTCGTAGTGTTCTATTGTGTATTTGTAAAAACTATGATATAAGGTAATAAACGAATTTTTAAGACTAACACAGATCTTTTAGATATGTTTTCTGGTAATTTTGGAACCTGAGACCTTCAGAGTCATAAAATTTACTTATGGTTTGTTCGTTTGTTGGTAATGTGTTATAAAAACAGAAAAAATGTTTATTTAAAACTGGGTAGCCTTTAAAATTAATTAAAATCCTGTTATAACTAATTAATAATGAAATTTATTAAAAACGTATTATGTTTAGTTACCAGAGAGGAATCTTGCAAAAGCAATCATTTACTCTCACGGACTTCAACCTTGAAGAGCAAAGAGAGAGACGTTTGCTACAGAGACACGTGGGGATCAAAGAGTATGACTAAGGTATAGACAATTTCATTATAAGCCACCTTCAAAATTTTAACTTTTAAGCAATAAGCAATTAGTTACGCTACTTCTCAATATATAATATATCCCATAGAGATTAGATTATTATGAGGTACAGACGCATCTGGATAAGCTAAAAACCTCTGCAAGAGTCCCTGATGGACGACCTCCATAACGAGAAACACGGGTGAGAGAGAAACCTCTATTAGCGAGAAAAATACTGCGTTCCTTTAGACTTTTGCGTATCCATGCACGAATGTATAGAATTATTATCAAAGATACGCTTAACGTTACGAATATCAATAGCTTTAGAGGAGCAGGCTCGTAAAAGAAAAAATAGGAATGTAGTAAAAATGATATAATATGGAACTTTGAATTTTTAGTTATTCGAAATGAAAAAAAAAAACATGATACCTTTGCATTTCTTTCCCGATTAAAATTGTTTTCTTTTAATATCCGTTTATTTCAATAACAGCAGGAAAACAACTATGAACTCGAAGCGGAAAAGAAGGAACCAACGTATTGCATGCATACAGACATTGAATTTCGACATGTGGTGCGTTCAACACATATTGATAAAAGTATTGAAGCTAAACGAAAGGTAAGATTTATTTTATAACCGTTGAAATCTATTGAAGTAAGATTTCTCTTAATACATAATGTTATCTCTTTCATTCCCTTTGACAAAAAGGGAGAGTATATTTTTTAACTTCGTTTCTGATGTACCTATGTAATCAAAAGCTAGTGTTTGTAGTGTGGCCATTTTTTAGAGAATCGTATATCCTATTTCCACACGTTATAAAAAATACAAACGCGCGCGACTCTCCAACTATATACACTTTCATATTTATTTTTTAAAACCTCAAATAATTTAGAAAAATATATCTGAAAATATTTTGTTGCAGGTTATTCGAATGTTATTCGTTATAATATTAGAGTTTTTCGTTTGTTGGACTCCATTGCATGTTATTAACACGGTAAGTCGACGATTACATTTCAATTTTAAAAAAGTCTTCTAAATCCTGAAAGTCATCAATTAAGATGAATTGCTAGAAATTTTGCAATGACACAACTGGAATTTATAAGCGTAAGAAATTTTAATGCTTTTGCTATTTAAAATAAAGTTTGTATATCACTTATTCAAGTTAAGGACTCGGGACAGTTGATCTAAGCAGAGCAGAAAATGTGTTATCAACGACGGACGATCTCTGGTTTCTTATTATACAATATATAAATATGTTGTAAGCTTCGTTTATTTTGTCTCTATCGTACTCCAAATGGATGACATATTGTTTAAAAATATTTTTTTCTTGTACACGATTGATCGTTTCAGATTTATTTATTCTATCCTGACAAATTGTATCAATACATTGGATCGAAAGGGATTGTGTTGCTGCAACTGCTGGCTTACTGCTCGTCTTGTTGCAATCCGATAACGTATTGCTTCATGAATAGAAAATTTAGACAGGCATTTATCAACTTATTGAAGAGTTGCAAGTTGTTCAAGTAAGTAACTTTTTGTACAACTTGAAAGAATTATTTAATTACTAATTTGCTACCGCAATTAAGGTCAGGTCTCCAATCCTAATAGTCGGACAGACCAGACAGTGCTTACCAGTATGACACTCTCGTTTGCCAAATGTAAAGCGTCTAACAAAAGCCGGACACCTTTAATTTTAGACGGACACGACAATCAAAAAGCCTACCTATGTCCGGCTTTATCCGGACGCCTAACAACGCTGACCGCACTTACAACGTTATTTGATTTAAAATTCAATTCCTTCTTTCTAGCTCTTTTTGCATAAATATATAATTTTTCATGCTACTTTATGCCAATTGCGTTGCAAATTATACTCGTCGAATCCCCGCACGATGTTTGTTTTAAATCGACCTATAATTTTTAGTAGTTGTTAGCCCGCAAGCGGGGACTCTCTGCCTGCTGTATAACGATCGAATTATTGACAATGAAAACACACACTGAAAATGTGTCCTAAATGATGTGCGACATCATAATGCGCTGTTGCGTCGTATTATCCTGATTAATCTTGAAATGGCGACGAGTTTAACTGTAATGCAAATTTCATGTCACTGAATAATTAAAACTTTGTCCACATGCGTAATGCGGTTTTGGGAGATTTTGTGGTCAAAACTTTATATTGATTGTTTATCTGTTTTGTAAACTTAGTTTAATAGTGAATGATTTCTTGCCAATTAAAATTTGTTCCTGTCTAGGTTCATTTTTTTATTAAAAGATAAATTCGGTGGTATACTCCAGCTTTCAAAATGGAATAAGTATTGCAGGCGCTGTTTCCCAGACAAGTCAGAGTCTGGTAAGCAGGCTACGCCGCCGCCGTCCAGCCAGGACGGTACTGCTTGCGTTGTAAGGGGCAGCCACACTGGACGCACAGGTATTCATTTTGTTGTAAAAGTAACATTTATTAATACTCTTAAACGCTAGGATATGGATTTATATCTTAAAATAGTGTTCTTACTAATAGTCACAAGCGGTGGTTTTGCGGTAACCCTGTTATTTTAACTTTATACTTGTCGCAGCCCTGAAGAGAGGGAAACTTGTTAATTGTTTTCTTATCAAGGTGTTTACGTTTACAACTACACCTTCTTAATACTGAGACGATTCTTAAATGGTTTAATTGGATCTTGCACTGAATATTTTGTTAATGTAGAGTTGGATGGACTGGAAGGAGAGGAGTGTGTTTAGCAGCGGTTCACACAGTGGCTCGCACAGCACGGCGTTGGGAAGCTGCGGCCTCCCCGCGCACCCCGCACTACCCGCGCCCGTCATCTCGCGGCCTGTCACGCAGGTTAGTATACATTACGACAGTCTGATTCCAGTACAGAAATGTATTGACGTCTCTCGCATTCTCTCTGTAAAAATAGAGACGATATGATACCTACAAGTCTTACGACAGTGAAATTTCACGGGTAATTGATTTATTCATTTGAATGTTGGAACTTTTACGTGTACGATATTCACAAAGTAATCAAGAAAATACGATGCTCTCTTGAATATGATGACTTATTATTCATGGCGAGTGTACCTTTCAATAAGACAGAGTTTTATATTCCATTATAAAACGCTGTCTTAAAAGGTGACTGAAGAAAAAAAGAAGAAATAATTTCTTACAAGCCAGCATCCAACATTTTCTTTTTAATTCATTTTTATTTATTGGCGATGAGAATGTATAACAGCTTTTATTTTCTTTGATATTAATTAACTGTAGTTAAAAATCAATCTATCGATTGCCAGGTCATAGAGACGGGAGAAGAAGGCAGCCAATTCCTGTACCGCATCACTTGGCCCAGAACCGCTCAAGCCAAAGGCAATGTGCCCGCACAGCCACTTTATGAATAAACTTTGACAGTGTTTATAACTCGAACGCAGTAGTGATTTTAAATGAACGCGTTTATTCGTTTTCGTGAATTTACATTGGTGATTAACTAAAATGCTCAAAAACTAATCTAAGTGTAGTGTTTTTATAATATTTCTAAGTGTTTGTTTTTCTAAGTAAGTGACAATACGGTTAAAAGCATATATCTTTCAATTTCTTCGGAGGTATGTGCAGGTTACATCACGATGTTTACCTTCACTGTAAGAACGTTGGGAACATATGAAATTCGAAATTCGAAGTACACGTTGGTACATATCCGGGATCAAACCTGGATGATTTAGATTATGTTCCGGTCAGTTTGTTAACAGCTGCACCACCGACGACTCTGTAAATATTTATGTACATGTAAAATAAATTGTAAGTTATATAATTTAGTGTATATAAGATACCAAAAAGAACTTTGTATATTTCGTGTGTCTCTTTAATATAATCCATTAAAATCATTATAAACCTTATCACCATCTCAAAGGCCGGCAACGCATCTGCGGTTCCTCTGGTATTGCTGATGTCCATGGGCGTCGTTGAACACCTCGGTGTTCCCGCTGCTCGTTTGCCCCTTTCTGTTATTAAAAAAAATGTGTTCCTTAATTATTATTCAAAAATTGTCATTTAATTATTATTGAGATGTATTATTTTAATAAAAAATTATTATTAAAATTATTTAATGAGCTTTAGCAGTTGTACCTGATAATACAAAAATGTGTTATTTAAAAAAAAAATCTTTTTAATCATATACTTTATTATATTTGATTCTCTTAGATAATATTAAGGATTTCTAATTTGTATACGAAGAATTAAAAAATGTATAAAATACATGTAACACATGTAATTAAATGTAATTAAATGTATGTAATAAAACAAGCACGAAGATGTCACTTTTGAAGGTTTATGTCACTGATTTTCCGTTACCAAAATTTGCACTAATTTATTAAGAACGATTTTTTTTTTCTAAATGTGTGAAGCTGACGTTAGAACAATATCTTGTAAATTCCCAAATCTCTAATTCTAATTGTTCAAAAAAAATTAGATGGAAAATTTTAATATGACAAAAGATTTAAGTATTGAAAAACATGTTTGATCGATTTTTAAATTTATTTATATACTGTTTGTAACTAAGAACGTATAAATGAAAATATTGATGTTATAAATGTGAATGTAATTTATTAATAAAAAAAAATGAATAAAATAAACGTATTCAATTCGAAAAATTTGATATTTTTATTACATTTATCATCCATTAACTACTGCTTTCTTATAAGTAACCAATTAGTTTGGAAAACAGCTATCATTTTCGGCACCACTTTTTTTAAAATGTTGACATATCGATATGTTATTTTGTAGATACACACATAAATGCAAAATAAAACGTATAATGTGGTACCGACCTTATCAGTAGAGGAGTTTTGAATGTAAGGCCACTTATATGGTCCTCAATATGGACAAAATAAGAACACTTATCTTTTTGTAATTCAATATCATATTGGAACAAAAGAAGTATACGATCATGTCCAATTAAAAAGAGTGAAGTTACGTTAGAGAATCCATCATGTGATCGAAAATAAATAAACGATATAAGCTTTTTGTTCTACTTTATCTACTTGTAAATGTAATGAACAATAAAAGTTTTTTAACTAAAGTTCTTTATTGAAAGTTTCAATATTTTTATTTACTATAACTGAAATAATGAATTATTATTTCTTTGTATTCTTTTTAATATAATAATATTTTGAATAAGTAATATTAAGTCTTTGAATTCCCAAAAAAAAATTACTTTAAGTTTTATTAACAAATGACGCTGCTCAATAGAATGTTTTACAAACTTCTTGTTGTCTTAACAACTTTGGAATGACACTGAATGCTGATGTAGTTAACGTTGTCCATTTTATAACATTGTATACAAAGTTATGTACATAATTGTTATAGCTACTATATTTAACAGATTATAAGGTCGTCATATCATACTTGTTCCAAAGGCTGGGTTTGAAAATCTACTCTGGCCATCATCCACACTGGCCCAATGCAGATTGATTGTGAGTATGCGCGGTTACAACGTGATGCAGTACAGTAGAGAAATAAAAATTTAAACTTTGAGTTTACATTAAAGTCGAGAAGGCGATAAAATAAAGTTCTCTTAGTACTTTAGAATGTTGCCATTTTAAAATTTTTCTTACACAATTTTCAACGAGAAGAGCCGTCAAACATGTTACTTGCGGAGTGTAAGTAACATTATATAACTTGTGCACACTTTTCGTGTTGAAAGTTTTGAATTCACCCTAATTTAATGGCAAGTCGGCTATACATATTCAACTTTAACTGCATGTTAACTGAATAATTGAACTGTTCAGGTAAATTGTATGTGTGTAGGTAACATTGTACATACATACAACATACGTACCTATAACTGAATTCAATTGAATTAGCCAAATGTAACAAAACAATTTTTTTATTTAACAAAGTAAAATATTTAACAAAGTAAGAAAAATAATTTTTAAATTGGAACATTAATAAATTATTTTTCTTCATTAATTTTCTTTTACTATGCTAAAAGTTCCTTGTTTCTGTTTACAAAGAGCTGAGATTATTTCAAGTTTAGCAGTACGATTGTAATAAACAATAGCCCCTAGAGGTTTTTTTCTCTTTAATTATTTTTATTAGATCAAAGAACCACTTTAGCTATTTACTTTAAACAGGCGCTATAAGTTTTATTGTATAAGGTAATATTATGGTACAAATGTTCTTAATTGTCCAATGCTTAAGATACACTTTACCTTTATTGTTTTAAAAGTAAAAATTCCAATAGGAATTGTGTCAGTCTTACAATTCTCTTTTATTATATTAGAAAATCAAATCAGAGTTAAACAAAGCCAATAAAATTGAAAATTATTCTATTATCGGTCTTACAGAAAATCAATTACTTATTCCATATATGAGTAACTGATTTATCGTGTTACGATGCCAATTTTGCGGAACATCGCCTGAATGAATTCTGCTTTTAAACGATGAAATAAAGAAGTATTGTTTTTTTTTATAAAATATGATTTTTTGTATTGTAATTAATGATCCATTCTTAACATCAATTTAACGCTGACAAAGTCGCAGGCAAAAAAAATTATCCGATTAAGTTGGCACGTCGTTCAGAGGAGTACTCTTGTTCTGGACGTGCCAAATTAAATACCCAGTATTAAACGAGATGTTTATCTTAGTACAGACGTACTTCGATAGATAATAATAAAAAAGATAAAACTCTGCTTATGCAGCTGACAAATTCACTTGAGGAGAATGACGTCTTCACCGATGATAAACTTATCGAAGTCATTCTTTACCATGAATCGTGTAACTAAAGGACTAAGCTTCGAGTAACTTGGCGAGAAATTCTATCAATTCTGAAAATATGTTACAATATTAAAATAATTGCTGAAGAAATTATAAATAAAAATAAGAATTATTTACAGAAAATCCACTGTTGAACAACGTGTTTAAAAACATGTTGTGATACTCCCAGAGCAGTATCTATAGTCATGTTAATTGTGATTTTAATTCTGCGGTTGTCACCTAGACAATACTTCATTAAATTAGAAACGTAAGTGTGTATTATGTTACGTGTTTGGATAAACAACTATAAAGCCTTACATATTTTATAGTCATCAATTCAGCGTATTTTATTGTGACGTAAATCTTATAAGAATTGCTCTGTCTGTCGACGTATTATTGCAATAACATTAAATCATAGCAATTAGTATGTAACTAGACAATCTGAAAACATTAAATAACTTTCTTGAATTATTTTATAGCAGGGCAAACTAATTTAGTCCGGTGAGAGACGCGCTGCTATTGCGGTTAGTTCTGTCAGAAAATATGTGAGACCTACATAGTTTTAGACATTATTAATTTGAATCCTTTGGCGCGAATGACGCACTTTTGTTACAAAGTCAAGTGTCAGAATCATTAGGGACATAAACGTCAACATCTTAGTGACGCTAGTGTTGCATCAGTACACCGGGACTGTGTCGGATTTTCTTCCTAAAATAGGAATAGGAAATTACATAGAAAAATTATGACAAGACAAATTTTGTGACACATTTTGATATTACCAGGGGGGCGCTAGTGTGCTCCCATAGTCTAGTTTGACGTATGCTCACCACCTAGTTAGATATCTTTGTTGTTCCATAATATAGTCAGACAAGGATATTTGACCCGCTGTAAGTGGCACTGCTATTGCGTAAGTGGCATAGAAAACGGCTAATAAGAAATGATTGCTTCAGTACGAAAATGACCTCGTGAGACTTTCTTGACTTGACGTGAGGGCGCTAGGGAGCTGTCATAATTTAGTATAATTTACGCCCACCGGGTCAGATATTCTTGTTGGTTTATACATATTGTTGTCTCTGTCTTTTCAAAGAGAAAATGCGGGATGACAATAATATGTTAATACACGTGCCACTGCAACCGAAACCCACGGTAATCTTTAACAAATATGAACAAACACAAATTCACGCATAGAGATAAACGTAAGTGTAGATTGTGGAAAGTAGCGAAGGCTGATAAGCTTGTCAGTAACTGACAGGTGACACTGCAACCTGTTTTAAGAAATTGAAGTACGTAGCACGAGTGGTAGAGCTGAAATCAAATTGCGGCTACTGCTGCTACTTAAAGAAAAATAAAATCTTGGGTCAATAACATTTATGTCGAAATGTTTGATAAGAATTTTATAATAAATGTAGAAGACTTTTGTTCGCATGTGTTATTTAAAAGATTATATTATTTTTTGAGTAATGATTAAAAATACCATAAGCTACAAACCTATAAATTATAAAACTGGACATTAAAAGCAAATGATAAGGATGGAAAATGTGGGTTTTGACAAAAAAAACGAAATCTCAACGATTTTATTTGAAAGATCAAAACTGATTATGCGGGAGATAACATATAATATAACAAATATTAATATAGAAAAACTCAAGAAGGGGGGTATTAGAAGCATACGTAAACGAAGTGCATGTATGCTTAGCTGAAGGAATGTAGAAAAAGCGAGAGAGGTGTGTCAGGACAGTGCTAAAGGGTTTGTGGTCACTGCCGACCCTCTAGGTTACGGTAGTGAAAAGAATAGAGTGGTACTCTGGTAACAAGTGCAATTTAAAATATGCTATCCGCTTTGATTTATTTTTTCGTTTCACCAAACGTTTCGATGCATAGATATCCAGACCACCAATCTTAATCCCGACGTTTAATTCGACCGCACTTTTAGTTATTCTAGTGTGGTATTTTGAATTCCTATTTTTGCATTAATTTACCTAAATTAAACTGTAAATGTTCACTATTTGTCCATTCTAAAGTAGCCTGGAATATAAACTTGGTTAAATTTTAATACGACTTTGTAATCTTCGCAAGGACGGTGTAACTTACAATTTTAATTGGGGTTCATATGTTGGGTCTTAATAAAATAAAAGTAAACACTATTTCAAAGAATTTATATTTCTTTAAATTAGTAAGCATAAATGTAGACAGT